AAAACCTAGGAAATAAATTTAAAATTTCAAAAAAACATGAAAAATAAGGTAAAAACATGTATGCATACAATTAATGGAAAAAATGAGTAGAAAAAAAAAATTAATAATTAAAACTCATTTTTATGGAAAATGGTATTCACCATTAAATTCTATGCGCTTTGAAACCTAGGAAACAATTTTAAAAATTCAAAAAAACTCGAAAAATAAGCCGTAAAAAATTAATTAAAAAAGCGCGTCTAAATGCGGAAACCGCGTGTGCTGCGCGCAGCCAAAACCGCGTCAAAACGCGGAAAACCCGCGTTTTTTTATTAATGCCCATAATTAAAATTCATTTTTATGCAAAATGATTTTTACCATTAGATTCTACACATTTTAAAGTGTAGGAAACAACTTGAAAAATTCAAAAAAAAACTTGAAAAACAAGCGGTAGAAAATCAAATACAAAACTGTGTGTAAACGCGGAAACCGCGTGCACTGTGCCACAGCAAAACCGTGTGTAAAAGCGGAAAAGCCATGTTTTTTTTTCATTAATGCCCAAAATTAATGGTAAAAAAAAATAATTAAGAAAACACGTCAAAACGCGGAAACCGCGTGTGCTGTGCCACAGTAAAACCACGTCTATGTAAACGCGGAAAAACCACGTTTTTTTATTCAAGCCCATTTTTTACAGCTTAATTTTTACAATTTTTTGACATTTTATAAATTTCTTTCCTACACTTTCAAACATTTATAAAATTATGGTAACAATCATTTTGCATCAAAACTAAAATTATATCTTGAATATTGCATCTAACATGGTTTTTTAATTAATTCTTACAGGCTTAATTCACATTCTTTTTTGGAATTTCATATTTATTTCCTACATCTTCAAAGGTTTAAAAATTGATGGTGCAATTCATTTTGCATAAAAATAAAATTGGTATGCAGTACAAATTGTGTAAGAAGCAAGTTAAGCTCATATATTAAGATTGAAGGATTGATCTTTGGGTAAAATGAATAACACCACCAATTTTTAAACCTTCAAAAATGTAGGAAATAAATTTAAAATTCCAAAAAATAATGCAAATTAAGCCTGTGAGAGGTAATTCAAAAACCATGTTAGATGCAATATTCAAGATATATTTTTCATTTTGATGCAAAATGCTTGTTACCATAATTTTATAACTGTTTGAAAGTGTAGGAAAAAAATTTAAAATGTCAAAAAATAGTAAAAATTAAGCTGTAAAAAATTAAGGGGGTCGGAAAAACGACTCCCATTTTGGTTGAGGGGTTGTTGGACGGGAGTCGTTCCTCCAAATTGATGGCCAACTTTGGGAGCCGGCCATCAATTTTTTTTTTTAATTTTTTAATTTTTGGGGAGTTGGCGCCCCAAACCACCCCTCATGCTTGAGGGGGTTTGGGACTCGGGAGTTGTCACTCCCATGACCGGAAGGATTTCCTTCTGGTCAACAAGAAACAAATATCTCATTGACCGGAAGGGATTCCTTCCGGTCGATGAGGTATAACAACCTCATCGACGGAAGGATTTCCTTCTGGTCGACAAGAAACAAAAATCTCATTGACCGGAAGGGATTCCTTCTGGTCAATGAGATGTAACAACCTCATCAATTGGAAGGAATCCCTTCTGGTCAATGAGGTTGTTATACCTCATCGACCGGAAGGGATTCCTTCCGGTCAATGAGATGTAACAACATCATCAATCAGAAGGAATCCCTTCCGGTCAATGATGTTGGAATTCAATTCCTAAACTTAGCCCTCAAAAGAGGAGAGCCTCGGGTAAGTTATACTTTAAAAGTATAAACTTCCTAGAAGAGAATAAACATACTGATCATCATTGTTTGATCATGTACAGAAACAAGCTGTTCTGCAAATGAACATGTGAATGCCAAGCTCAAAGCTTGCAATTTATGAGATGATGTCATTGATGTCATAACCAACGCTGGGCCAGCTACGCTAACCGTAGCGTTAGCGTGGCGTAGCGCAGCGGAAATGCGCTACTTTGTAGCGTAGCGTTAGCGAAAAATCCACCTTTCTTTGCTAACGCTACGCGCAAAGGGCACAAAAGTGCGTTAGCTGTTAGCGTAGAGTTAGCGCAGAAAGTCGGAATTGCGCTAACGCTACGCGCTCAGGGCACAAAAAAGTGCCCGCTACGCCGCGCTACAGGGCTTTTTAGCGGGTTTTTTTGCCTTTTTTGCCGCTAAAAGCGCTGTAGCAATGCGCTAACACTACCCAAAAACAACCCAAAAACATGCCGCCTGTTAGCAGGGCTACAGCGTAGCGTAGCGTAGCAGCGGTAGCAGCACGCTAACACTACAGAAAAAAGGGCCTTTTTTTGCACCGCTACGCTAACGCTAAGTGGCCCTTTAGCGTAGCGTAGCGGCCCAGCGTTGTCATAACTCTAGGTGATTGCGATCATCAATCATCAAACTTCAAGTGAGTATTGAATGATTGTGATCAGAGAAAGAAAAGGAGTGATCGTCTGACGACTTGATCCTCTTCCTTCAATTCATCACCTTTATTTTGCATCAAGTCTCCTATAACGGTCTTCACCTCATTGATTGTATTTCTCTACCTCAAACCGGTAAGAAGCCTTTCCTTAACAAAAAGGAAAGAGAATCAATATATTTATTAATATTTATTGTTCTATACAAATTATAGAAACATTCAGCAAAAATCGACTATTGCAAAGCAATTATTTTCATTAGATCTCTTGATCTAAAATTACAGTAAAGTAATTCTTCTTTACGATAACATTGAGTAAAAAGAAACAGAAAGCAAAATACAGAAACTAATGAACTTGTTTGAACAGTTAGTGTATTATTATTATCATTACTCAAACTTGACAAGTGTTTCTATCTTTCACTTCTCAATTTAACTAGCTCTATCTTTGCAGACTTTTATTCTGCCTTCAGGTAATAAAAGTTTTGCTTATCTTTATTTATAAATTATAAAAATTATCTTTATTATGTTTTTCTTTATAAAATTATTAAAACTTATAAAGAAATGAAATCTTCAGTTTTCAAATTCTTCCAGATGAGGTTGTTATACCTCATCAATCGGAAGGGATTCCTTCTGTCGATGAGGTTTTTGTTTCTCGTTGACCAGAAGGAAATACTTCCGGTCATGGGAGTGACAACTCCCAAACCCCCTCAAGCATGAGGGGTGGTTTGGGGCGCCGACTCCCCAAAAATTAAAAAATTAAAAAAAAAATTGATGGCCGACTCCCAAAGTCGGCCATCGATTTGGAGGAACGACTCCCGTCCGACGACCCCTCAACCAAAATGGGAGTCGTCGGAAAAATTTTGGGAGTCGTTTTCCCAACCCCCAAAATTAATTGAAAAAGTGTGACTAATTACAATATTGAGAATGAACCATTGAGTTTCATGGAAATTGGTTTTAACCATTAAATTCTACGCATATTATAAACTAGGAAATAAATTTAAAATTTCAAAAAAACATGAAAAATAAGTGTTAAAGAATTAAATACAAAAAACATGTCCAAACACAGAAACCACGTGCGCTGCGCTGCTGCAAAACCGCGTCAAAATGCGGAAAAACCGGGGTTTTTTTATTAAGGCCCCTAACAAAATTCACCCTGTATGTAGGTCTAAAAATTATTTTCAACTATCAACTGTGAGATAGTAAGGGCCTGTACCATAGGGTTCAATTTTCAAAAATGGGCATTTTTTCTATCCTCTACACAAAAACTGGGAACAATTGGAGAGGTCTGGTGTTGAAATTCTTCACTTTCATGCCAAAGATTAGCTTCTAGTTATGGTCAATTTTGATAATATAAAATTTTGAGCAAGATGAATTTTTAGAAATTGAATTTGATGTGCTATGGTACAGGCCCTAAGTTTCCTTGCAAAGTTGGATAGGAGAGAGAAGAAAAGAAAAGGGAAAAATTTGTAGGAGTCTAAAATGTGAAATAGATAATTAATGGGCAGAATCAAGCAACCTAATTTGTGTGTTTATCAACTTCAGACTTTTTAATGGGGCATAAAATACTAAAGGGTGAGTGATTGTACTTCGTATTGGTCACACTAGTGAAAGTTTTATTTGATTGGGCTACTTTGATACATCAAAAACAAGCGCCACTTGTATGTGTAACAACTTGACAAGGTTTTTAACCTCCAGAGGTAAAAGTTTTTCTTGTTTGGCACTCCGGGTGGGTGGTAATTTTTTGGGTTGCGTTGCTAAACGCGGGAAAGCAACCTGGTTTAGCTCCCGCGGTGGATATCCTAACACTGAACAGGCATGGCAGAAAGGAAGTGACTGGGGAACTGGGATCACAATCCCGATGGTAAATATCTAATTCAGATAATTACCCAGCAATCACAGCTAAGGGAGCGCCACTCTCATGAAGAACCATGGCAAAGGATGCAGCAATTATTTTTATATCAAGTATGCTCAAAAAGACAAACTGCCACCGCGCGGGTCAGTATCGGCATGCAAGATAGATGAAATCCAGCCCCGAGTGGCCCGATCAGTGCCTCAATTTTGTGTTGCTGGACCGGAAGTAGGAATGAACATTGTTGAACATCAAAGTGCTTTCATATACCCAGGTTTCCGGCTGAGATACTTCAGATCGCCAAAACCGAGCCGGGTCGCCGTTGCAGGTTTTCAGATATCGATGATGCATCGCCACGTACAATCCCACAAAAGCCTCATTGCATCATAGCTTTAGCTTATTTGTGGAGATCCGGCTCGAGTGCTTGAGATGATAGGCTGGTCATTGCGAATTGTCTTTGAAATATAAAGCGGCCAGAGCCACCAGTGTGTACTCCCGTCTTGATCCTGCTCTCTGTTGACCAGCACAATTCGGAAGCAAAGTCTTTGGTGGAAGTCAATCATCTCAGCTCAAGAGGTTCGTCAATTATCACTCGTATTTGAAAAATACAGCCATTCCTCTATCCACGTCATGAAATTCTTGTTGCTCACGGAGAATTATCCAGCTCTTCAACCGGCAAGCCAGCCGTAAACCCGCGATAAGTTGAAGAATGGCATCCCAAGAACTTCCAACAGGCTTATTCACTTTGTTTGACGAGTATCCGCTGATGACGAAGTACCAAAACCGGCGAATAGCTCCGATCAGTGAGTCAGGCTGCATATTTCTTCGCCATTGCCAGAAACTTGTATCGAAATAACGATTGACTTGTGATGAATTTTCTGCGCAGTGCTTCTGATCTCGGTGAGCTCAAGAAACTTGTGTCATTGTTTCTCGGCTTAGAATTTGGGCTCACAAGTTAGCTATTTGGATTTACTTAACAAATACGCGTGTACACACCCTGCAGATAATACTTCTCATTTGCTTGACTGTTTTCAACATCCTAACACAGTAAGCATTTCCAATACCCTTGAATTGTTTGAGTTTATTACTTTGCTGATAAAAAATATCTACCTCACTAATCAATGAATTAATAAGAGGAAGATCACTACATTACAAGTGAGTGTTTGAGCTTATGGATTGAGGTGTCTTGAGGAGAATTGCAGCACTTATGGCGAGCTTTCATCAATTCCGAAGAACATTTCTATCGTCACAATTTTTCAATCAAACGATATCTGCTAATGGCGACAACATCACCTGCCAGCCAGTAACAATGGAGCTCAGTGAAAGCTTTGTACCGGTAGTCCCAATTGGGGATGCCTCTCAACTTTCCGTTAGCTCTCGGGGATTCCAATGGTCCATTTACGCTGTGCTCCCACCGGGAGGGTCAGAATCAGGAAACACAACAACAGGCTTCCTTTATTCCGGCGAGAAATTGAATTGTATCGTCAGTATACCTTCCTGGATTTTGTCCATCTTTTTCATCTTGATTTATGATTGAATTTCTTTCCTATGCTCCGATTGTTGCATCCCCAGATTGTATATGCCCATCATGTTTATAACTTTGAAACTAGAAATCTTAAGTTCAAGTAAGCCCACGCATCAGTTTCACGTTTTATATGTGCCTTGTCGCAGCAATAGGCTGCATTAACTTGGCAATTGTGATGGCAAAATATGACCATAGAGAGGCAGTGAAGATAGCGGATGAGTGTAGCCTGGGACCGAGAGCTACAGCTTACATCCACATCTTTACTGACACATCTTCCCGGGCTGATGTATAGCTCTTGCGCTAGTTGCCTGTTGATTACCGGTTTCACCATCAAGATATGTACTTTGTACGATTCTGCTACTCTAAAGTAATAGTTTCTCCTTTTCATATCTTTCAATCCGCCGCGATCTGTTACTGTTTGTCTTGACATGCTTGAAATCATTTCCTTAAGGCTACCCAAGTTTGCCCGGCTTTTCTACAACAGCATACCTGATCTCGGCTTGTGAGCACGTCTTATCACAATCACATTCAAATATTTCTACATGCAGCTGAGAATCTAAGCGGTCAACTTCCAGGAATGGCGCTAGTAAACTCGATCAGATCTATCATGAAATGTCTATTCCTGCTCATTCCCTACCAGTATCAGCATTCCCACCAAGCTATAGCGAGACGCAAATAAGTCTATACGAAAATGATTCAATCAGTTGGCACCAAGTCCTTCAACTAAGTTCATGGCTTGGAAATATCAGTCTGATACCAGCACCTGCCGATGATTCATCTCAAGAGAGTAGTATGTTCAATAATTTCACGGTTTTCGATACGCTATTTGACGCGTTCATAGCTACCGATGGAGTGGACGGTTCGTCTGGGTTTCAAATTCGAGTAAAGAAGATTGGGACTGTCAAACCCCTTGGCCAAGTTTACAATCTGAATCGAATTCCAGAAGCCTGGGGAAGAGCGTTCAAGTATTCACTGTTGATGAACGGCGATTTGATGTATGCTGCCAACAAAGATCTTAGCGGCGCCAATGGCAAGCAAATCGGAGTCAACTATGTGTGCACGAAGACTACCAAAGAATGGCAGACCATTCCAAAAGTTGTTTCAGTCACCGTTGGGAGTACATTAGCGGTATTCTCGGCCTGTTTTACTATACTGGTAGCTGTCAGTAAAATTTACCATCTCGCAATGGGTTTTTTGAGTTGAAGAAAGGCTGAGTATAATTAAATCATTCTGATTCAATGTCCACAACTTTTGATAGGTGGCCCGTAGGTTGGACAGTTTCCAAAGCTCGGATGAAGAAGCGCATCAAATGACAGCCAGTCCTACTCAATCGGCCAATGAGTTAGACACGGAAGTTTGTCAAGTTGCTACTTGAAAAAAAAACCTACAGTTTCACGCTTTTTGGCCTTCAGAAATCGGTGCGTTTGACGGGAACCAGTGGGTTTATTACACTTCTTCAATCCGCGGCTCAAGAAGGCTCAGACTTGCTCAACGATTGAACGGGTTTTAATCAGATCCGATGAGGAATATCCCAGTACAATTCAGGACTTGATATGGCATTCTTCCTCAAAAAAAGACACGTTTTTCCCCTCTAGCTCAACTTAGTAGATGAATCTCGTCCAAGCAGCTTAACTGCCCCTCTCAAGTGAAATTTTAACCAATTATATGAGTTAAAATAAAATGAGGAGCGGAGTAATGATGTAAACAACATGAAGAAATTGTTCTTGAATTTCCTTCAACTCCTTGTCTATCAAGTAGTGTCTACTGTTCAAAATTCTGATCATACTCTCATCAGTCGTTTGGATCCAACACCAATTGGAATGTTTGAATAAGTTGAATTATTGTGTTCTAGCAAAACCCTGCTTTCAAATTCTTGCCAAACAATTTTTAGTAAACAAAATAGTTACCATAGATGAAGCCCTTGAGAGTGTAGAATGAATTTTGAATATCTGCTGAAGTGTATTATAAGAACAGGAGATAAGGGGAAAAAAGTCAAAGTCATGTAGATCAAAAAGGAAAGTTTGATCTTAGTGTAGGTTGGATGGCTGAGTGGGTTGTTGTCCTTGTAAGTTGGTTAAGGTTGATGGCAGATAATGAAATTGATGTAGATCAGGCTGGCTAGGCTCACCCACCCAGGGCTTGGGTACATATGTATGCAAAAACATGGTGATACCATGGCCCTCTCGGGGTAGAGTAGGCCACAATTTATTGGAAATAAGCATACCTCTAACTTTGGGAATCCAACCTGAGGAGATCAAGAACTCTTTTCCATTTAGCTGTTTTGTTTTTCACAACAATGTAAAAAAGTGTGTACTGACCTCAGCATCTTTCTAAAAATGCAATTGAAGTAAATTATCTTTTAACATGTCTTTCATCAAGTAAAAAAAGAAAAAGGAGTGTGCCAATATTGACGTTATTAGAATCTTTATTTGTATTTCTAGCAAGTTACTAAAGGGGTATGTATTGTGGACCTAATGCAGAGTTCCACAAGACACAGTGTGGCAAAGTTGTGACTGTCTGGCCAGATTTCTAATTTGATCTCCAGAAATCTGTAAGAGAATGATGCACTTGACCTTTAGTATGTTGGCCATGTAAAATTACTTAACATTTCAGCCATGTCATATTTTGGAGTCATCAATTAGGACAGTTCACTTCAGGCATTTTAGCCACTTTGCTGATCAGCTGTTTTGCTGGTCTGGTAAAATTTTACCATAAATTAACAGCTTGCACAAAAAAAACTTGCTTGTTGCTATTAATGTCCCACAAAGTATGGGGATATCTGAGCCAAGATCCATGATCATCAGACATCCTGTTTCCAATGGTGGGCCAGCTACGCTAACCGCAGTGTTAGTGTGGCATAGCGCAGCAAAAATACACTACTTTGTAGCGTAGGCTTAGCGTTGGCAAAAATCAACATTTCTATGCCAACGCGCAAAGGGCAAAAGAGTGCGTTAGCTGTTAGCGCAGAAAGTTGGAATTGCGCTAATGCTACGCGCTCAGGGCACAAAAAAGTGCCCGCTAAGCCACACCACAGCGCTTTTTAGCAGTTTTTTTGTCTTTTTTGCTGCTGCCACTGTAGCGCTGCGCTAACACTACCCAGAAAAAAGCCACTTGTTAGCGGCACTACAGTGTAGTGTAGCGTAGCAGCATGCTAACACTACAGAAAAAAGGGCCCCTTTTGGTGCCGCTATGCTAACGCTAAGTGGCCCTTTAGCGTAGTGTAGCATAGCGGCCCATTGGTACTGTTTCCATCAGCTGGTTCAGTGCTTGTTGAGCTATCTATGTTATGTAGTTACCATAGCTACTATTGTGTTGTGCTTCTTCCTCTTTTCATTCTCACATGTCACACCTTGTGACATTCATCATGTTTTCTTTCTCTTTTATACTGGAGCCAACAGAGTTGGAAAGGATCTCTTTTTCCTCATCCTTTCCAACTTTATTGTCTCCAGGTCAGTTTCCTTCTTTTCTCAGTGAAATGAACATCTAATCCTTTCCAACTTTATTGTCTCCAGGGAGTTCATATCAACAGTGCTGATGTGGCCAAATATTTTCTACATTTTGCCACCTTTTTCAATGGAGGACTTTTGCTTTTACAGTCCCCTGTCAAGCTATTTCTACAGGCTGTTAAGCTACTTTCCCAGCAGAAAAAGAAGCTTGAGATGCTATAATTCTAGATTTACTGGCTGTACTTCTAGCTTTACAGCCCGTAAAACCAATGGGATGTCCTCCAATATAATTAGCAAGCTGGTGACTGGTCAGCAAACTAGCTACATGGACCATCCCATTAGGCAGGTTCACGTCTGAAGTTCAAGGCAACTTTTAACACACTTGAGGATAAAATTTTATGGTTTTTGTAAAATTTTGTGAACCATGAAGTTTGGAGGAATTTGAGATTTTTGATAAATTTGCAAAATTTTAATGATAAATGTCATTAAATTTGCCTCAAAGTTCAGACATGAACCATCCTATTTTGATGGTCCAAGTTTGAGCTGAAGTGCTGAACCCAGCCTCCAATCCTGATGGATCTCATCAAACCTTCAGATGGCCATGAGACAGGTTATGAAATATTGGATTGGTCATGTTTTTGTTTGGGGGGTTTGGAATTTCTGCTTCTAATATTAATCAATCTTTAATCCTCAAATCAAACTTCTTTTCCCACAGGATGACAAAATGTTATTTAGGATTAAGATTTATTGAAGTTGGACTGTTCTTTACTTTAAAAAAACATGTATGGGACAAATGATGTGGCCGATGCCTCCAACTCTTAATTTGACAACTGATGTCAAAGTCTGATTAGCTTTTGATGATCATAAAATGAGCTTTTTTGTACATAGTCAGCTAGCAAGAAATATGAGTGGATGTGTTTCGACGTTTGTTCTTGTTAGCCTGTTCTTTTTTTTTCTGAAGTGCCTTGTGGTCATGTGGTTGTTTTGATTTGACAACCGAGGCAATTTGTTTGGATTTGTTCTTTGGGAGTGGGTGTTGCTGAGTTTCTTGTGGTTGCCAATCCAATCGACCCTCGAACTCCGAAGCCATCGCTCAGACCCTCTCTCCCCTCCAAGCCTCAGTCAGACAACAACCCCTCCTCCCCTTAAAAACTCAGCCAGCACCACCACCACAATTCTACTCCACAGCCAATTCATCATCTGCTTAACCATATCGCCATCACCTCTCCCACACTCTCAAACTCAAAGCCATCCCTACCATGTTGGTCTCTTTCTCTTATTCTATAGTTGGCAAAAATCAACATTTCTATGCCAACGCGCAAAGGGCAAAAGAGTGCGTTAGCTGTTAGCGCAGAAAGTTGGAATTGCGCTAATGCTACGCGCTCAGGGCACAAAAAAGTGCCCGCTAAGCCACACCACAGCGCTTTTTAGCAGTTTTTTTGTCTTTTTTGCTGCTGCCACTGTAGCGCTGCGCTAACACTACCCAGAAAAAAGCCACTTGTTAGCGGCACTACAGTGTAGTGTAGCGTAGCAGCACGCTAACACTACAGAAAAAAGGGCCCCTTTTGGTGCCGCTATGCTAACGCTAAGTGGCCCTTTAGCGTAGTGTAGCATAGCGGCCCATTGGTACTGTTTCCATCAGCTGGTTCAGTGCTTGTTGAGCTATCTATGTTATGTAGTTACCATAGCTACTATTGTGTTGTGCTTCTTCCTCTTTTCATTCTCACATGTCACACCTTGTGACATTCATCATGTTTTCTTTCTCTTTTATACTGGAGCCAACAGAGTTGGAAAGGATCTCTTTTCCTCATCCTTTCCAACTTTATTGTCTCCAGGTCAGTTTCCTTCTTTTCTCAGTGAAATGAACATCTAATCCTTTCCAACTTTATTGTCTCCAGGGAGTTCATATCAACAGTGCTGATGTGGCCAAATATTTTCCACATTTTGCCACCTTTTTCAATGGAGGACTTTTGCTTTCACAGTCCCCTGTCAAGCTATTTCTACAGGCTGTTAAGCTACTTTCCCAGCAGAAAAAGAAGCTTGAGATGCTATAATTCTAGATTTACTGGCTGTACTTCTAGCTTTACAGCCCGTAAAACCAATGGGATGTCCTCCAATATAATTAGCAAGCTGGTGACTGGTCAGCAAACTAGCTACATGGACCATCCCATTAGGCCGGTTCACGTCTGAAGTTCAAGGCAACTTTTAACACACTTGAGGATAAAATTTTATGGTTTTTGTAAAATTTTGTGAACCATCAAGTTTGGAGGAATTTGAGATTTTTGATAAATTTGAAAAATTTTAATGATAAATGTCATTGAATTTGCCTCAAAGTTCAGACATGAACCATCCTATTTTGATGGTCCAAGTTTGAGCTGAAGTGCTGAACCCAGCCTCCAATCCTGATGAATCTCATCAAACCTTCAGATGGCCATGAGACAGGTTATGAAATATTGGATTGGTCATGTTTTTGTTTGGGGGGTTTGGAATTTCTGCTTCTAATATTAATCAATCTTTAATCCTCAAATCAAACTTCTTTTCCCACAGGATGACAAAATGTTATTTAGGATTAAGATTTATTGAAGTTGGACTGTTCTTTACTTTAAAAAAACATGTATGGGACAAATGATGTGGCCGATGCCTCCAACTCTTAATTTGACAACTGATGTCAAAGTCTGATTAGCTTTTGATGATCATAAAATGAGCTTTTTTGTACATAGTCAGCTAGCAAGAAATATGAGTGGATGTGTTTCGACGTTTGTTCTTGTTAGCCTGTTCTTTTTTTTTCTGAAGTGCCTTGTGGTCATGTGGTTGTTTTGATTTGACAACCGAGGCAATTTGTTTGGATTTGTTCTTTGGGAGTGGGTGTTGCTGAGTTTCTTGTGGTTGCCAATCCAATCGACCCTCGAACTCCGAAGCCATCGCTCAGACCCTCTCTCCCCTCCAAGCCTCAGTCAGACAACAACCCCTCCTCCCCTTAAAAACTCAGCCAGCACCACCACCACAATTCTACTCCACAGCCAATTCATCATCTGCTTAACCATATCGCCATCACCTCTCCCACACTCTCAAACTCAAAGCCATCCCTACCATGTTGGTCTCTTTCTCTTATTCTATATCACTGCTCAGCTTCTAACTATCCACAAGATTGCTTACCCTCTTCTTTTTGTCTCGGATTGTATGGTATAACAGGCCAGAACCACCAAAGATCACTACCTCTTTGGCCGATCGAATCGCACGGCTCAATGCCACCCAAGCCCACTCACTCGACCGGAACCATGCTCAAGTTCAAGAACAGATTGGCGAGATCAAGTCAAAGATTTCAAAGTATGAGGCAACCGGTCAACACGAGGCACCCTTGATACCCAAAGGCTCATTCGGACTAGGTGCCCCACTTGCCAGACCCGATCGAGGCCTAGATCGGATGAGAATCGCCAGTCTGGGCGTCAGCGGTGGAACGACGGTCTCAATTAAATCATCACCCAGTAACTCGCTCTCAGCCTCCACCGGCCCAACGAGATCGGTCTCACTAGGTAGACCAGACAGCAGGAGACTCTCAAACCTCTCCTCCTCCGATCAACACTCTCGTCAATCATCCCCAACTCATTCCCCCTCCCAACCACTTCCATCCGAACAACTTCCAACCCCACCTCAAGAAACCCAGGACCCACTGGGCGAGCAAGGAGCAGCAAGAACCAAAACCACCAAGGAAGATCCTCAAGATCCCTCAGAAGACCAGGAGGCCAACAATTCATTTGACTCAGCCGAGGCTTACGATGGCATCCTCGACGGCTATCCCACCACTCCTGCCGAGGAAGACTGTCCCCCGATGGTCACCTGTTCAAACTGTTCCCGATCGGTAGAACTCGAGCTTCTTGGCGATCATGTCTGCGAACAGTCACTTCCACCCTCAAAGGCTCAGTCTCCCACCGAGCGATCGCCAGAAGGAGCCAGACGACCACCCGCAGACGTTCCCGTTGACGCCGTCGAATCCCCAGCACTCGTCATCTCCCAGGACCACCCAGAAGAGCCACCCAAAGATCAGCAACCACCCCTCTCCCCATCCTCCTCAGTCTGCTCATCATCCAAGCGCACACACGATCCCAGTACAACCAATAATAACACAACAACAACAACAACAAACACCCACCTGTCACCCGCCGCTGGCCCCCCAGAACCACTCCGTCCACCAACACCGGTGATCTGCAACAAGGAGAAAGACCTTGACTCGACACACCAGTCAAACAAACAAGGCTCCCCGGAGATCCTGAGTCCTAAGGAGCCTCAACTACAGGCTAACAACCGTCTCAGTGACTCCTCTCACTCCACTAACACCACCCGTCTCAGTACTGGCCCGATCCCTCCTTCCTCCGCCTCGGCTGGCCGACGCAGCTGGTATAATGATGACGATGACCCCGATTATTATGACAACGAAAATGCACCTACCGGCTTCGTTACTATCGTCAGATCTAGTAAACGCATCTAATCAACCCTTCCTTCTACCCCCTCACCCCCATCATCATATCTCACATCAAATCAAAAGACACTTTCTTTCTTTTGCTCTCTAGCCCTTTCTTCTCATTTGGAAAGTATTTTTTTTTTCTATCTCTCTTCATCATTTTACAAGAACAAAAAACAACCAATCAATCAATCAAATAAACCAACATGTTTGTCATCCCTCTTGACCTCTCTCCAAATGGAACAACGCAGAAAGTTTGAGAAGTTTTTCCTATTGCATTGAGCAGTGATCTTTTTTCCCATTTAGTCGGTTGCGATTCATTGATCATCTTGGTTGTATCTTTCCCATCTTCTCTTTGTTTTCAACCTTGGTATAATCAAGATACTTACTTAGATTGAAACTTATAATATATATATTCAGAAATATGTGTGCAGTCGTAGTGTTTTTTTTTCTTCTTCCTTCTTCTTCTTCTTTATTCATGTGTTTAGCATTGTCTTTCATCAATCAATCATATCACATCATCCAATTGGATCATTCAATCCATCACTCAACCAGTTTATTCTTCAAACGTCACTGATGATGAGAACGACCTCCATTATTCATTTTTCTTTCTGTTTTTTTTTTTTTGCAAGTGATGTTGAAGTGCATTCATGGATACATATATTGATGGAGCTGAAGTTCCACATCTTTGAGGCTCACTTGTTATGTTTTGAAGCTGATGTATCCATGCATGAATGTTGGTTTCACTTTCAGCATCTTAGACATGAATGCAATTCGGATGTCCTGATTCAACTCTCAGCCGTACTCACTCATTCTGCTTCTTCATTGCATTACTTATACACAATACATCTTTTTGTTTTCTCTGTACATCACTTCTCCACTCTGTTTTTCTTTGGTTCTTTTCTTCTCTCTTGCGCTTGTTGCTTTCCCTTTTTCTTTTTATGTTTCCTTTTTTCCTCTTTCTCTTTGTTTTGTTTTGTTTTATTGAGTCTGATTTCATACAATGGAACTCCATAACCAAAAGAACGAAACATGAAGAACAGTGTGAAATATATGACCCCCCCCCCCAAAAAAAAAGAACAAAAGAAAAAGGATCAGTCAAACAAAAGAATAAATGCTAAACTCCTCTAGATTTCAACTTGGAAATGTCTCTATTATCTTCTACACAAACAAGTGAAGCAAGGAAGGAGAATTAAAAGCTTGAGAGGGTTATGTAAATAGTTACAGAGGAACATTTTCTTTTTACTACAACAAGTCTCAGTGGTAAACATGGTACTATGGAACACATGCTATGTAGGATATTACAGATCATATTGTGTCCCCAGATAGCACACAGTGCAACATATCCACCAAACCACATCTACATGAAATTGAGGAATGAGATGGACAATGATGGAGATTGATGGGCTAAAGTCCTTGGGATAGATAGAATGATTCAGGAACCCCCAAGTTGTTGGGTGTCCTGTGAAGACAAACTCAGTCTCCACATATCTTTAGTCCCAAGAGGCCTGCTTGGCCCTTTGTGAGAAAATGTGGGGAGAGCGTTTGTCTAGGCCCACTATGCATGGTGGACAGTCCGATCAATTTGCCTCCCTCCTTTAATTACAGGAATCTTTTCTCATGATCAATTTGATTGCCTCCTTTAATTGTAGGCATCTTGAAGAACTCCTTCCTTCCTTCTTTTTTGTTTTGGTGCCCACTTGTTTGAGTGTCCATAGTTTAGGCAGATAGACAGCTTGACAAGTTGAAATCAATTCGAGTGTCATAGTTGAGTGGATGGTGGGTTATAAAGCACCTGGGACTGGGGGAGTTTGGATCAAATTGAATTGAATTTGAGTCGCATACATCCTAGTCTGAAACTGGATTTAACCCTGCTTTTACCACTCCAATCGAGTCTCGTCATACCCTTCCAGTAACAGATACCTGCGGGCCCCTTTGACCACCTCCTTCAACCCGTTCTCGACTTGGCAAGACTTGGCTCTATACCCTCTCTGCGCTCATAGATCAACATGGTAAGTCTGATCGGGGCCTCAAATTATCAGTTCCCTAATCAGTAAGTATAACCGGACCTATCTACATCATACTAACAATACGCATAATCTTCGTTATGGCGGGTTCCATCGATCGATGTTCGATTCTACATAGTTTGGCGAGGAAGACAGCGAAAGTCCCCGACGTCCCTCGCCTTGGCTCCCTTCTCCTGGAAAATCAAACCTCTCTGTTTGCGCTACTCCTGACGATGGTCCCTCGCAAGCCGAGCCTAAGCTGCCTAACTGGCCTGATGAACTTGAACCCGAATTGGATGAATTAGGCCATATCGAGTACAAAGTATGAAAACCTTTGTGTTTCACTCGTTGTTTGATGAGCTCCATGATGTGATCCTCGGTTGTCTCGATTACGATCGTCTGTTCTGATTTTTTTGGTTACTCTGTTTCTGTGCCTACTCGTTAGTTAAAAATCTTGAGTCCTACTCCAAGTCGATTCGAAAAACTCAAGACACAGTTGAAATGGCGGTTACTCGAAGGCGGAGGTACGGCATTATATGAGCTCGGCGTACTCGACGATGGTACACTTGTCGGTCTTTCGCGGACAGAGATGGATGAGAGTTTAGCGAATCTAGCTCGGATGGCTCGAGAGTTAGATTGCGAACTTGAATTACTAAGGGTTGTCGAGATACCTGAGATCATCGTCAATACCGGGCCATCTTCTCGACCGGCAACCAAACTGCCTCCGAGCTTGAGGTTTCCAGGCGGTACGGATCGCAAGGAAAAGGCTAAACAGAAAAAGAAGAAGAAAAAATCTCGCGCCAAACCGGCCATGGGACTCAACTCAGGCATCGCTAGACCACCGACAGGTAAACTACGAATCGAACCTGGTGACGCCGTTGTTTCCTCGCCCAGTGAGCCCTCCAGCCCTAGGGAGCAGCCAGCGCCTCAAGAGAAACCAGCCATCGTGGTCACCTCACCTCGTCACTCTTCAAGAGGCTCAGCACATTCTCTCCGGACTCTTCTAGATGGTTTACATTTGCACCCACGTCGTCCGCCAGCCAACTCGAATTTTATCGACCAGATCTGTCTTCTCACTCCAGAAGAACGAAGTGTGATCAGACGGGCTCGGAGGAACGAACGAAGAGCGGCCCAAGCAGCCGAGACTCGGCGATCTAAAGCACGCGCCGAACCGGCCGAAGCTACCCCTGAATCTAATGCGGACGATCATAAGACTCGGTTCCCCGATCTGCTCGACCAAGACTTCGGTGGTTGGAAACGTGGAGCTGAAGATCAGGGTGGGATCAAGTATGTGGTCGAAGTTTGTGTGGCAAAAGAAGCTACCGCACAAGAGGAACGGTTTTTAGATTTCGAAGGTTTTGGAATTTCTGATTCGTCCTAATCCACATGAGATCAGAGTATCCTATTTTGGTCTAGAATCATAGATTTCCTTGCCTACTTTAATACTTTAGAGAGACTACATAACTCTAGGGGATGCGACTGTCAATTTTCATGAACATTCCTCGACTACACAGCCTGAAGTACATTCTTTCAAGCTTCAAATACGACCGTATTCTTTGTGTGTACATCTCTTATAACAACAACAAAAAACCTGATGGCGAAACCCTGAAGAGTGGATCAAAAACTAGTGGTGGATTTGACATTTACGTGTATATATATATACATTTTCTTTCGAAATAAGAGCGCCAGTCCACTTATCCGCTTGGCTGGATTGTATTCATTTCTTTTGTACATCTTTCGACTGTTATTGTTATGTTTTGCTGTAGGTGTTGTTGTACTTGCTGTTAAAAAATGTTTAGAATTTGAATGAGTCGGTTTTTTTTTCTCATTCGAGGGAGCTATGAAGTAATGGCAGTGGATAGATTGATGTCAAGACAAGTTGCTTGAGGGTTGGTGGATTTACTAGTCCGGTTGCCTACTCTGAAGTGAGAGCTGTGTTACCCACCAGTAGGATTTCTCTGCTGGTGGGTGTTTAATTTTCATCAGCACATCTCCCTCACCAACATAAATAGAAGGAAAAAAAAAACTGGGCGAATTGATTCACTTGGCAGATCTTTGGGCTCCTCTGTGAGAAAAGTTGAGCTAAGGAAATGGGACCAACTCTGGTAGCTCACTTGGAAGATGGCTTGTGTCAAGTTGCTTAAGATGATGTATCATCATCGAAGATTGCAGGGTAAATATGGCATCGAAGCCCCATCCCCTGGGGCCCTGCTCTGGCTCATCGGAGCCCTCGGGGCAAGTTGCTCGCGTACATAGTGCCTCTCCCCGAGGGGAAAGACCCTCCCGAGGTCTCTGCCAGAACCGTTAATCGTTAGAAGGCTCTCGGCATTCTGTTATAGGTGTGCTTGTGCCCTGTTTCAGGATCCACAATGCCCCCAGCCCCGGATCAAGAAAAGCCAGCGCCATGCTACATAAAAGTCTAAAATGTACTCTTTGTTTCGTCCGAGTACAGTGGGATTTGCATTTCTATGTACCTCTGGTCCTGGTATTACATAGAAGGTCACTCGGCCCAGCCGTGGATTTGCAGGGAATTGCGCCGTCCTACATACAAACCCTTTGGATTTTAGCGTTCATGCAGCTGGCGCATTCACTTTGGGTCCGGCGCAACGGCCATCGGCTTTTCAGGAGTCAGTCATCCGCGGTCGCGTCGCGAAAGTGAGCTATCAATCAGTACAACCTACTCAAAAGCAACCTTCCAGAATGTCCTCTGAGCGCGTGAGGTTGACGGCTGAGCTCCATTGATTTGTTACACTCGCTTTGTTTGTGTTGTGCAAAAAGACCTCAGTCCGCTCGCCTCTACTTCGGACTGAGTTCAAGGAAAGAAAAAAATAATTAAAAAGCACTCGAAAGCTCAACTGGGGTGGTACTATTTGCCTCTCCTCTCCTCTTGAGTCTTGTCTACATATTCCGTACATACCACCTCCTACTTGCCTTCACTCCCCCCCTCCCCTCCCACTCCGGCTCTATCTAATACCGGTAACTGTTTTGACTCCCTATCCTAAAACGCTTTCAGCATCTCTACGGTATTAAGCCCTCCATCGCCCGAGCCCGTTCTCTGTCAAAACTGTTAGAACACCTCATCTCGTTCACAATCTCGAAATAAAAGCAAGAAGCAAACAGACATGGTCCACCCAGTGATGGAAGCAGCGCGTCGAAAACTTGGTCAGTCATCTCACATCTCTATATCTGTGCTTCAGGCATCTGATCGGCAACAGCCCTCATCTCTTTTGATTCCATTTGTTTGGCCTTGATATTCTGATTCTTCCAGTCCGCAAACTGGTCCACCGGACAATGGTGAAGGACAAGAAGAAGTCGAAGTCGAAGTCGAAGTCACGGTCGCGTCCGAGTCAAAGCACCAACCATGTGATGGCATTCGTGGATCCGCAAGCGAAGAAAAGAGCATGGCAAGAGATGATAAGGCAGTATTCCAATGGCCTCATCAAGGCCCGTCATCCGAGAGTCTTGACATTGGAGTTACAGCGAAAAGAGAAGGTCCACAAACCCCGCGGGACTCCGGCTAGGATCAGTAACCATTCGCAAGGCGAATTTCTCAGACGAAGCACCCGACAACCTCATCCAAGAAATCCTCCTCTTGATCCTACCCGCGACCAGCTCATTGCAGTCCCTCGCAGTGAGATGTCCGATGAAGACGACGATGATGGGTTTTTAATCGAACGTGATCTTTCTTGATTGATCATCGTCCCTTCGAATGTATTTCCTCCCTTAAAGAATCGATGTAAGCGTACCTCCTATCCTCCGCACTGGTCAACTTCACACATACTAACTTCAGAATCTTACGCGTCTCTATACAAAGTATAATATATTGTGCCATAGTAAAATTCTGTTCCCATTTCTCGTCATCATCATCATCATCGTCATCCTCGCCATCGTTATCATCCTCAGACCTTCAATGCTTCTGCAATCCCCAACTTCATTCGGCTTTCAAAAAAAAAAAAAGAATCGTTTCCAAGAAAACTTACACTCGGCCTGCCCTCGCTCCAAATTCTAATCAACAATCTGGTCCAAAAGTCACAATATTTCGTCTTACAAAAATCTTCCTTATCTATCTCCTGTCTTGCTGATTTCCCACTAGGGGCGCTTGTATTCTAAGAATATTTATTCCATTTTCCAACACAATTTCCTGTCGTAGTCATAGGCATACCTACATACTCAAATCCCAAGTGCTCTTCTGTTATAAGTCGTCTTTTAAAAATCATAGTCCAATTTAAATACAACGCGCTTCTGCCAAAAAAAATGCGCTTTTCCAACCGCCAATATAGCAACGTCTACACCCCCTGCTTGGCATAGAATACCTACGATGGCAGAGCCCTCAACTGAAGACCTCGCATCAAAATGCAAACATGTCACGTGCACTTTTGTTCAATTCATACCAATTATAAAAGAACTGATACTTAGAATCAGAAAAGGTGATTGATTGCGTTAAAATCGTTTCGCAAGAAACTTGCACTCATATCAAACCGCTTGGTGAGAGGAAGGTTGAACTTGAGTGAAATAGAGGGACCATGGGCCAACATGCCCGAAAAACGGACTGGCCGGTTTGTGCTAGCTAAAGCTGGTCTTGCTCAGGTTCAAGCACTAGATACTGAGAGCAACGGCTAGACTCAGCTTGACAGCCACTTTGGATGCAATGTAAAGGCACACGAGATACTGATTGATGGGAAAGGTCATTCATACCGCTATGGAGCTCTGCAGAGCAGCGCTCCTTTTTACTTGGGATGACTTGAAATCCTTATTGTTTACTCTAAGGCTACGGTTACCAAGGTCAACCAAGCTCCATTTCAGAGTCATAGACTGTTTGGCTCACATCTCCGGTCGGTTTTATACACCACTCACTGAGCGTCCATCTACATCTCATGTCGCTCCAAAAAACAAAATCCTAACCAAAACCTCCAAATTTTCTTTTAATGTTTGAGTAAATTCGATCAGGCCTCTCTGGAAAGACACGCCGGTGGAAAGACAGGGGCTCTAGAGGATCCGATGGCCCGGATATTCCAACTTGTATATACATACATTCTATATATATATATTTTTTTTGAAAAAAAGCTTGCATCCAGGTTTGTAGTTTGTAAACGAAAATAAGTTGCTCTTCTCAATCGAGTCTAATTGAGCTTGCAAGGATCTTCCGAGGGATTCTGGTCTTAAAGCGACCAAAAAAAAAAAAGAGAATCCCATCAAGGATCTAGCGTTGAGGATGGATCTGCGACTTGGAATCTTGGAAGTGTCGGTTTAATGAAGCTCGCAGTCTCAGGTTGGTCTGCTGAATAGAGTGCAATGCAGACACCTGGAGTGATCCATGGCATCTGTGATCTAGCTTGGTTGGGCTCGGCACCCCTCGGTGAAAATGGACAGCGGTCAATGGCCCACCAATCGGAATGGGCTGAATGCATCAGCTTGATCTCGAGTCGACTTGCTGGGGTGGGAATGGATGTCTGAGTATTCTTCATGTGCGCGTCGAGTCTTGCTCGGGTGTCAACTGTCGCACTTTCTGCCTCAGTTTTGATTCATTGGATGAACCTATGCACAACCAAATTACCCTCGACTTATTCCATCCGAGTGGAAGGTTAATCCCCATGTTCATGCTTTTTTAGCTCTTCAAACCGAAAGCTTGGTCATCTGTAGCTTGGTCTCCTATTGTCACTCATCCAGACTTTTCCTAGCTTTGGGACTGATATTCCTATAATAAAATTGAAATCCCAGCCAGAAAAATTGAAAAGTAAATTCATCTCCTGGAGTAGTTTCCGACTGATATATTGGTATTTCGTTTGTTTTTTCTACCCAGTTTACTTCAGGTGCCTTGAAGGCCAGGTTGTAATTTGAGCAAATTGCCTAAAGACTTGTGTGATACATCCATTGGAAAACAAGTTCAAAAATTTCCATACTTGTTTGAAATCAATTCTAGATTGACTGTGTACATCATTTTGGTCTCCTTTCATTCATCAAGAGTTAGCCTGCCTTGGAGCCCAGTTGATGTTCCACTCTGAAAGTACAATATAAGGCAAACAAAAACATGAGAAAAGGTATCTTGTAGTGACTTTGAAAGATGCAATAATTACGTTGAAGTTCTTTTCCTCCAGTTTTGTACGGAAGGTATAATTTGAGTGAAAGTACTGACATTCCTATATGTAATTTGGGAGGGTTATGTGATGCAGATTATGCCGACACTGGTCTCTCAGTACAATGTGTCAGGCAAGCAAAACACTACTAGACCAAAGGACAATGGGAAAACTCCAAGCAGGAGATAATACTAGGAGCTTGTCCAACATCTTGAAAAATGACAAGAAAAAAAGATTGCAATGGAAAAAAATCGTAGGTTTTGAAACCCACACTTGCAACCTTATCTGAAGGACTTTAGGATAAAAGGTACTCTACGCTGACATCCTTTATAGTTGGCCCTAAAACAGGCATGGTGTGTATGTTATATTCATCAGGCTTTTAATTTTTTGTTGCGCTATCTAGTTGAAACGGTTTGACTGACTACACCGGACAAGCAGTCACAAGTAGAAAGAAAGATATCGTGGGTACAAGAGAAAAAAAAAACAGACAGAAAAATGACAGAGAAGCAGCGCGTTTTAGCTGAAAGGCAAGTCAAGCAGATGATCATTGAGAGGCGGTTACAAATTAAGAATGCGAGACAAAATTACTCAAATCAAAAAATTTGATTCGAGGGGTATTAAAATCAAACCAAAGAAATAAGCCCTCAGTGTTCCTGTTCAGCGAAATTTCCCTGTGCTACTCTCAATCGTTCTCTACCGCGGACGGCTTGATTAAGGTGGAACAAACACTGGCTAATGTAGGAGCGACTCAGCCCCTCATTCGAAGTTTTGCGAAAAAGTCAATCTTGGACTCGCTGTGTAGTCGTCGACCTACATAGCAAATGCGCTGAAGATTTATTACAAAACGTTGACATTGATAGGACGCTCTACTAGTGTAAAAAGGGTTAATTTGCTCAACATTGGTGAAACGTTATCGCTTGGCCTTGGCTGCCCAGGCCCGAAAGCTGAGCACTCTGGATGGAAACTATCAGTAGAGAGACTTCACAACCACACCAGCTATCTGAATTTTTACCAAGAAATTTGTCACCGGCTGGTGGTTTCTGCTCGCAATGATCCCGAGCTTGCCCATCAAGCTATTGAAAGACAAGGCGGTCACTCTCAGTGGATTGACTTCCCAGCTGGATGAGCTGCCCCGATCATTCAAATTTTGTACCAAAGTTAGATTCCAAAACTGTCAGGGTCTTGCTCATGACACTGGGTGCTTCCGCAACCAGTGGTAGCCTCGGACTCAAAAATATTGCGATTTATCGCGCCCGACAAGGTGATGATCAGGAGGTTCTGAGCTTTCTGTACTTATCAAGACTTCGATCTGGAAAGGAGCTCTACAGAAAGCATGAGCTCGTTATATGAAAGGCTTAGGGATACTGACCGTGGATTCTCTACGTCTTGTGAGCAGCCAGACTACACGAAACGTTGAGGAGTCGTTAACTAGGAATGAATGGGAATGGCAGTTTCTGCTGAAGGATAGCCTATTTTGTTCATTTTGGTTCAGACGAGTTTCATGGGTATACAAAATTTTGTGCACTGGATGATTCATACGATAGATGGACTTTGGCGGAGGGGAGTAAGTTTTTGGTAGTTATACCGAGGCAGGGGAAGTGGTAGAGGTAAAAGTAATTGTGGCTGCATCAAACGCTGCCCACCGAACGGCAGAGAATCCCCAGTGAGTGCCGAAAGGCCTTCCGGGATTGATGAACTGTCACTTTCTGTAAAGCTGTCGTCCGCGTCAAAGTCTGCAAAAATCCGAAGGTTGACCTGCTGTATCAGCTTCTCGAGTTCTGTAGAGGCTTCCGCCGGGCTCATTTTGCAGGGAGCGGACCCTGGAAGGGATTTCATCGCCACTCCGTCAGACACGTTTAATCGGAGAAGTTTTGAGTCAGAGGCAACCGCTGGTTGCGGAAGCAGTAGGTTCCCAGTGAGCAGGACCCTCGGTACAAAGTTTAAATAATCAGGGCAGCTGGGAATTCGATCTACTAACAATTACCCATCATATTGGTGAGCATTCAAGTCTACACAGCAATCAACAGCACGAAGGGGAATTAACTAACACTGTGAACCCGCCCGTATGAGAGGGCTGCCATAGGCCCCCTTTGTGCATTTACTGATATCCCCATGATGCATGATCGTTGTGGGGCTGTGGATCGCTGGCACAATAGCGGGCACAAAGTCAAATTCCTCACAAAATGTGGAGGTAGTGGGCGTATTTGTCCCGAAACCACTGCTTGGACTCCCGATGAAGTCAGCTTTCGTAGATGGAACGCTCTTCTCCGGAGAGGAGAGATCAATGTGTGTAGTGGGTCTTGAAGTGTGCGGCAGAGAAAGGGCTTCGGCACGATCTGCATCAAACCAGAACAAGAAATAACCAGTAAGATTTCGCACTTTCGAAAAACAAAGAACTGCTTCGTGCAGATAAGACAGAGAAAGACCTACGTCGGTTTCGTAGTCTAAAACAGGCCCAGATACAAACAGCCGTGAAGAATGAGACGGAAATGACGGCTGCGGCGACGGCAATTAGGCGTGTCTGAGGCAAGGCGCTTCCCTCGGTGTTTTGTAAATCATTTGGGTGAAAGAAGGCGTCGAGAACGCTTAGATTTTGGTATGATCCAATTCTATTAGTAGGAACATTGATAGTAGCTGGTTGGCTGTAAAGGAAAATGGGGTTTGTTAGAAAGGATGTACATCTGGTAGTGTTTAGCTGTCAGATGTGTGTGACTTACGAAGTGACGTCCACTTTGGAAGCTTCCTGCAGCACTGAGCTGACAATTTTCGGAATTGGAGTAGCAGCCGCACTAAGGTGGTTTTGCGAGTTCTCCATGGATGCGGATTGGGTAGATTGATTAAACGGAACGGAAGACGGTGAAGGGAGACAAGGAGTGATGAGAAAGAGTGATGGTAAGGAAGGTGCTGAGGCGCAATGGGAAATTGCGATGGCAGGAAGTGATGGCAAGGAGCGATGGCAAGGAGTGATAATAAGGAAGAAGGTAATAATAGTAGGTTTTGCCGACAGTTCAAGATAACAGAGTAGATTATTTCTGGCAGTTTTGATTGTGTGATTGTTAAGCAGGAAGGAACAGTAAGTAAGTAACAGAGGTGATTCAAGACGGATGAGGATGAAGGAAGGTGGAGGGACTGGTCATGAGTGGCTCAGTATTTATAGCCAAGATGTGGGCCTACAAGTTGGAGTACCTTGCACTCCGAGCAAGCAGCTGGTGGTACACAAGAGAGTCAATGCAGTCACAGATCATGGATGGCTGTCTGGTGGGCTGGTTTTACCCGCCCTCCATCGGCGCCAAATGACCAGTCCTCCCAGTTAATCCCTGGTCTAGGGAAGCACTCTCACTTGGTCTTTTTCACAATCTTCCTCAACCGGTTCTGCTCGCCCTCTCAGAGTGTCGCTTGGTTCTCTCCGATATGGGCACTTTGCCATCAAGCTTCGATTGCGTTCCGGGACTGTCAGCCACTTTTAAGAAGGCGGTATAAATCACCGTCGACTGCCGCATAACATCAACTCGGAATACCATGGGGTGTCTCTTGCCACTTGGGTGCCTTTCGGGCTCTGCGCCACCATCCCATGGTGCCAGAAAAGTTGCTGAAATTTTGAGCGATGTGACACTCGAGTGGATGCATGAATATGATGCTTCGTTGCCCTTCATTTTGGAAACGCGCTCTTCTTGCCCGTTCTCAAAGCCTGGGTATGATTATAAACTTGTTTCACTGGTCGTAATTTGCTACAGATGCGTGAAGGTGGTGCTGACACGGGTGCAAGAGCATGCATAATAAATACCAGGTTCATGGTTCAGTACTGGTACAGTGCACAAATTTGGGCAATGTGCTTGTTTGTTGAAAATATAAAAATAAAATTGTGAATGATCTCATTAGGACAGTTCACTATTGAGCTTTAGAGTGATTTTTAAGGTATTTATTATTAGATGCTCAAATGCAAATGGTCGATACAGTTCCGTCACGTGCAAATCCCGGTCTCCTAATCTCGGTATGATTGCTTCAAAAGATGAAAAAAAACAACTCACCTGGTCAATACAGTTCCGTCACGGTCAGCTTCGGCACGGGCAAATCCCGGTCTCCTAATCTCGGTGAGGAAAGAGAAAAGGAGCCGGGATCGGAACAGACCAGGCTATAAACTATGTACAAGCTATGATCTAGGTTAGGTTTGGGACTATCACTAACTAGGTTAAGATTGTAAGTACATAGTTTATGGTCTAAGAGATGAAATAATCTTGAATCTTCTGATGCATTCCGTCACTACTCTAACACCCCCCCTCAAGATTATTCAGATTACCCTCCCACACCAAGCTGTTTCAGAGCACCCATCATTTTTGTTGGACCCAATCTTTTAGTTAAAACATTGGCCAATTGGTTGTGCGTTGACGTCCACTTAACTGAAATATCATGCTCTCGGATTAGATCATTAACAAAATAAAATGCTCGCCGGAGATATCTTGTTTTCTTCTTTGAGGTATTATCTGTTGCAATGAGGACTGCTGCTTGATTGTCGCAATGAATCTTCAGGTCCGGGTCAATTTCTAGTTCTTCAAAAATGTTGATCAGATGTGACAGTTGTTGAGCTCCTTCAGATAAAGCCAAGTATTCCGCCGCACACGTCAACATAGCCACCACTGTTTGCCTCTTTGACCCCCACGCGATGCTGTTTCCGTCGTGTGTCAACAAATACCCCGTCGTAGATCTTTCATGTTCCCCTCCCCAATTCGCATCAGTCCACAGATCCATCCCTCCTTTTCCAGCCTTAAACACCAACCCTTTTTCCATCGTCCTCCCTAGGTAGCCTACAAGCCAGTCGAGAGCCGTCCAGTGGACAGTTGATGGCGCAGCACAGAATCTTGCCAACATATTCACCGCATACGCCAAATCCGGGCGCGTCCCACAAGCCAGATACATTAGTGATCCAATAACTGACCTAAACTCCGTTTGATCAATGGGTTCACCCGAATAAGATTCCAGTTCCAGTTCTGGGAGTGGGCAGTGATGGCTGAAAGTTTTTCTGTGGTAGGATTCGACTATTTGAGTAGCCATCGTTGTTTGATTGAGGCGGAGATGAGGGCCGTCCCAGACAAAATCTATGCCTACCAGGCGCTGAACATTATCCGACCACTTTATCTCGAGTTTGCTCTCCATGCCTTTCCGCAGATCGTTGAGTAAACTTTGGTCGGATGAGAGAGCAAAACCGTCATCAACATGTAGCCAAATAATGATGAATTGGCCGGACCGTTGGAAAAGATACAGGGAAGGTTCAATCTCGCTAGCCTCAAAGCCAAGGGACTGAACAGTTTGCTGGAAAAATTTCCACCAACATCTTGCAGCCTGCTTGGTGCCGTAAAGAGCCTTCTTGAGCAACATGACCTTGCCTTTGAGGGACGGGTCGATTTCTACCGGAGGTTGAATGTAGACTGTTTCTTCAATTGGGCTGTAGAGGTATGCCGAGCTCACGTCAAATGTAGCCGTTGGGAACTTGTGTGAGATACTGAGCGAGATGAGGAAGCGGAGTATGTTGAGGGAGGCCGTTGGAGCATACGTCTCGTTGTAATCCAGGCCCATTTGTTGGTTGAAACCTTTTGCAACATATCTAGCGCGGTACTTATCAATCGAACCATCTGGTCTTTGTTTTATGGAGAAAACCCATCGCGCTCCTAGGGCTTTGCAACCTTTTGGGGCTACAATTGGCACCCAGACTTCCAGTTGACCGAACTTCAGCATTTTGTATTCAGCCGCCGCCTTCCACAGATCCGCATCAGGACCAGACAATGCTTGCTTGATGTTCTTCGGGAGATTGTGCTCTTCAGCAATTGGGAGAGCCGCAAGTTGCTGTTGTTCTTCCTCAGCTATCTCAGCTGTGCGTTCTTCCCCCAGACGGAGGACGATTTGCTTGAGAATGAAGTCGACGTCAACCTTGTCTGCTTTTGGCTTGGGGACCAAATCCGGACTAGTTGTTGTTTCAACTGGTTTGACGGGGAGCCGCTGGAATTCAGGGAAGGTGACTGACGCTGAGTGAACCATCCGCTTCTCGTTTGGGACCCAGAACACCCAGCCTGCTCCAGCTTCCGGGTAGCCGAGTAGTTGTCCTTCTTGACCACGTTCTTCTAACTTAGTGCTGCGCCGCTCCTTCGGGACATGTAGGATTCCTTTTGCTCCAAAAGGGAATAGAGTGCTAGCCTTGGGTTTGATCTTGAAAAGGAGTTCAAGCGGTGTCTTGTCTCCAGTCCTTGAGTTTGGCATTCGGTTGTACAAGTGAGCTGCCGTCGAGTAGGCGTACGACCACCAGTAGCTGGGTAACTCGCTCGCATGTAACATGGTTCTAGCCATATCTCCAAGGGTGCGGTTCACTCGTTCTGCTTCTCCATTTTGCTCCGGAGAATAAGGCGTAACCGGGGCTAGGGTTGTTCCGAGTTCCTTGAGTTGGGGGGATAGGCTCTTAGTGTATTCAAGGGCGTTGTCGCACCGCAGATATTTCGGGACCTTCCCAGTGACAGTCTTCAAGTGTCTGATCCATTGGAGGATTTTGATGGGTACTTCACTCCTAGTTGCCATTGGAGCACAGAACGTGTAGGTATTGGCGTGGTCGTGGAGAGTCACTAGAAATCGGCAGCCGTTGATGTCAAGGTTCAGAGGACCGACAACATCGGACACACAGAAGTCCAGAGGATTTTCCCGAGGGATCAAGGTTTCCATTCCCAGAGTCTTCCTGTCGATGCTTTTGGACTTGGCGCATTGCTCACAGAAGAAGGGCTTCCAAGTTACCTTCCGTTCTGGGTAATTCAGTCGAAGAAAATGTTTGACGACATCGTCAGAGACATGGCCGAGTCTCACATGCCAGGTGTAAGGGTCAAAAGATGGGAAATGGGTGATTTTCATTGACTGGAGGGGCGAATCGGTCTTAAGTGACCAACAATAATTATGGAAGATTGTTTCATAGTTATTATTACAAGGATCAACTAAAGTAGCATTCGTTCCCTCGTATATCAACTTCCAGCCATCCGACAAGAGCCGTCCAGTCGAGAGAATGATTCCGTCAACTCCTGGGCAATGGTAGACATCGTTAATCTTCAAGGGACCCTTCGGGGTTGGGATCGTCACACTGCCAATGTCCGAAACAGTTACATTACAGTCAGAAACGGCCAAATAGAAGGTGCGTGGTTGAGTCAGCTTGCGTTCTACCTTGAAGAGGGGGGAGTTGCCGCTTACGTGGGCTGAGGCACCTGAGTCGAGTAGGCAACCCTCCGTCACGTTTGGAATGTTCACTTGGCGGATTCTGTCATTATCAGGTTGGCGAGGCGGTTGGTATCCACTCGAAGCATAGTTGTATGGGGGGGAGGCGATCTTCTTGGTGGCAACATCCTTCCAAAAGCTATGGCAGTCCGAGTACCAGTGGCCTTCCTTCTCACAGTAGACACAGGTGTTGCCGTACTTGTTGAGCAACGCTTCGGATTGGCCTTTCCCTTTGTAGTGGGTGGCCTTATTGATTGAGAAGCGAGGAGGCTGCTTGTCCGATTGGGGCTGGTGGGGTGCTTGGTAGTAGCGGGCCGACGATTGCATTGCTTGAATACGATCGAGATCCATAGGGACTGGGCCGTTGTTGGCTGGCTTTGACTTGAGTTTTCCAGTCACCGATTGGATGATGGAGGAGACGTCAGCGAATGCTGGCTTATCCTTCAAATTGAGCTGTTGATCAACAGAGAACTCAAAAGTCTTCGTATCTACTCCAAGCGGGGGCTTGAAGGAGGTCTGAAGTAGCAGACCACTGACTTCGGGCCAAGTGACCTGGAGCTGGTCGAGTTCCGCCAT